GTTCATCCTCAGCTTCAGAGACTCATTTCCCATCCTGATACCAGCGATAGCTTTCTGGATTTAATGAGAATTAATAAAAATGTGTTTAATCTAAATTAACATTTTATATGCAAATTATAATTGACTTTAATTTATTTCCTATTATAAAGTTTGCAAACTTCTCATCAATAAATTTCCTGTAATTCTTTGGTCACTTTTAAAAAAAATATATTCCAAACTGTTTGAATGGTTTTATTTATAAGCACAGTGACAGAAAATAAAGCACAATATATATGTGTGTGTGTATATATATATAAATATTAAATACAATAAAATTATAGATATAATTGTTTTTTACGAGCAATAACATAATACTTTTTTTTATTGCTTATGTTTGAATCTGTAATTAAAGTGAAGTAAATTAAAGTGAACTTCTTCTTCTGCTTTGCTGCTGTGACTCTCGTGTGGATCAGTAAAGTTGATTTTGTATCTGTGTGTCAGCGTTGCTCTATAAGTGCGAGGCTCAGCGCTCCAGCTGCGGCCAGTGCCTCAAAGCGCCCGCCGCCTTCGAGTGCGGATGGTGCACCGAAACCAGGAAGTGTCTCCTGCGCCAACACTGCCCGTCTCCCGAACAGAACTGGATGCACCACGGCCGGCACAACCTGCGCTGCAGCCACCCGCGCATCAGCAAGGTAGGACTCCAACCGGCAACCTCGCCAGTGTCTGCTTCCAGGTTAATAATAAACATAATAAACAATCAATAACTGATTGATTGATCTCCTCCCCCACAGATTGACCCTCTGACTGGCCCTCGGGAGGGGGGGACACGGGTGACGATCGAGGGGGAGAACCTGGGTCTGCAGGTGAAGGAGATCGCTCACGTCCAGGTGGCAGGAGTCCGCTGTAACCCCGTCCCCTCGCAGTACATCAGCGCCGAGAGGTCGGTCTGCACTCGCGTGTCGGAGTGAACATGTGACAGAGTGTGTCAGAGCCGTGTACTGACTGTCTGTCTGTCTGTCTGTCTGTCTGTCTGTCTGCAGGATCGTGTGCGACATGGCCGAGGCCCTCCTCCCTCACTCTCCCGGCGGTCCCGTTGAGCTCTGCATCGGCGTCTGCAGCGCCGAGTATCGGACGCTGTCCACCCAGACGTACTCCTTCGTGGTGAGTGTGTCAGCAGAGATCTAACACCATCAGTAAATCTTCCTCTCTACATCAGTATCTCATCTTTAGGAGCAAAGTCGGGTTCGGATGCTTCATTTCTTGTGAATATAAACACAATCTCATTTTATTAAAGCACGTTTACTACGCTACTGAATGTCCTCTGTAAGGAACCAGTGTTTGTACATTAATCCTTTGCTGTAAACGTAGTGTGTGATGTGGAACAGCGAGCTGGCAGTCAGTCGCCGTCCAGAGCTAACAGAGTTTACGGAGCTAACAGAGCTAACAGGGCTAACCAGCCGTGAGCAGCTGCTGTCAGACTGTGTGAGAGTCCACTGGAGCTGTGTTTCAACCTTTTACTGCCCCAACCAAGCCGTCATTTTAAGAGTCACATCTGGTGTCTAATTTTTACTGGTAACCTGTCCTGTCACCCTCTTCCTCCTCCTATTCTTCCTCCTCCTCCTCCTCCTCCAGAGCCCCAGTTTCAGTCGTGTCCTCCCAGAGAAGGGACCTGTTTCTGGGGGAACCAGACTGACGGTGACGGGTCGACATCTGGACGCCGGCAGCAGTGTCACCGTTTACATCGACAAGGAGGAGTGTCTGTTTGTGAAGTCAGTTTGGATCTGTTGACTCACCATAAACAAACAAATAAACATGTAAATAAATAAACAAATATATAAATACATACCTCCTCTCTCCCAGACGCACCAATCGGGAAATAATCTGCATAACTCCCGCCTCTGTGTCGGGCTCTGGCCCCGCCCCCATCCGGCTGATGATTGACAGGGCCGAGGTGACGAGCTCTGACACCAAATACATCTACACCGAGGACCCGACCATCACCAGCATCGAGCCAAACTGGACCATCCTCAAGTAAATACTCCACATCCAGACCCTCCTCCTCAGGAATAATCAGATAATCAATCAGAGTATTGATCTGTAACCTGTGTGTGTGTGTGTGTGTGTGTGTGTGTGTGTGTGTGTGTGTGTGTGTGTGTGTGTGTGTGTGTGTGTGTGTGTGTGTGTGTGTGTGCAGTGGCAGTACAGTGATCACAGTGACGGGAACCAACCTGTTGACCATCCAGGAGCCCAAAGTCAGAGCCAAGTACGGAGGAGTGGAAACCAACAATGTGAGAACTTTTAACTCTCAAACTCTCAAAACACAGCAGAGGGTCTCAACATGAGGTCAGGGGGTCAGAACATCATTGGAGGAAGTATTCAGATCCTTTACTTAATGCAGCTACAAGGAACTGGACAAAGGCGGTAGTGTTTCTACTCATGAACTTCAAGGGGAAGCCGACCTGATGGCAGACATGAGGAACAATAGAGAAGTGGTTCTCAAACCTTTTTCATTCTCATATTTTATGGATATTTCGTATTATTTCAAAACCCAAACAATGAACTCAGCCTTGTGACCCCCCGTGAAGCTTTGGTGACCTCTAGTGGGGGTCCCTAGGGGGTCTTTTTTCATTAATGTACCCCCTTGACTGTATATAGAAATTAAATACACAACCTTGTAACTGAAAAACACATTTCAGATGTTCAGAATATTTCACTTATTCTAAACTATTGTTTTGTCATCAGCAATAATATAAATATGCTATTGAAGTTTTATTGAACTGGGTCTTTTTTATAAGTTGCACATTTGTTGTGTAATTTAATGAGAAACACGAGGATGTTATTCATTCATTATTGGTAGAGATGAAACTGCAGTGATCAGACTCTTCCAGAGGTTTTACAGCTGTTAACAATTGCACTGAAAATATTATATTTTTTATTGAACTTATAATTATCTTTGTGAGCAACTACACTTATTTTTCCTGTTCAGGTTGTGTTGTTTTCTTTCTTTTAAAGACCTGAAGTCAAAAAGGATGAGTATAATTTCCTCTCCCTCTCTCTCTTCAGTTCTGCACTGTAGTTAACGACAGTACGATGACGTGTTTGGCTCCTGGTTTGGTCTACAGTAAACCAAACCCACCAGAGGGGGCGCTGCGCCCTGATGAGTTTGGCTTCATCTTTGACCAGGTAACACACACACACACACACACACACACACAGTAAACACTACTACATGTAGTGGAGACCTCCAGTTTAGGCTGTTTTAATGGTCTTTAACCTGACCTGTAACTGCTCGCTATTGAGTCGTATGGGCGTAACCTCGATACCGTGACGCCGACCCCGTTCACTCCTGCACAGACTCTGACTCCGACTCCTACAGTAGAGGAAGTGGAGACGTCCATCTTTTATATGTAGATGGTTCGTTACTTAAACAGGAACCTTTTGATTTAATTTCTGTGGCAGCAAACGCGCAGTAACTGTGATACCTGAGCTCATCTACACACTGTATGGATGACTGAAGTAACATAACTACCAACAATACACCAGGAAATGTTTACAACAAACCTGCAAGAGAGAAATAATTAATAGCTGCAGCTTAACTTTAATTATCTGCGTGAGGGGAATCTTATACGACACAAACACAACGGGACCAAGGACGGAGCCCTGAGGAACACCACAGCACTCATTTGTAGATGAGCAGCAGCAACTTGTTTAATGTTAATATTATTTTAATATTAAATCAATATTCTGGTTCTGTCCAGGTCTCCTCTCTGCTGGTCCTCAACTCCACCCCCTTCACACACTACCCCAACCCGACCTTTGACGCCCTGGGGAATTCTGGGATCCTGGAGGTCAAACCAGGGTCACCCATCATCCTCAAGGTGAGAAAATGACAAACAGAAGAAGAAGGGACTCAATCTGACAGAGTATTTACTGATATTGGTACATTTACTCAAGTACGGGACAGTTTTGAGGTACTAAAAATCTAAAGAAATTATATAAAACGTTTATATTCCAGCAGCTGGAACGCCAAAAACAATGATCTATAAATCCAGGTGAACTCTGCTATAATACAATAATCAGACTTACATTTACAGCAGAGTGCTGTTATTATTGGATTGTTATTATTTTAATGTGAATGTTAAAAGTTATAGAACTGTAATAAAAGTCATTATCTGTGAGATTACAGTAATTATTGCTGTTTACACTGATAACAACTGTATTTGGACAGTTTACCAATGCTTATACACTGATAAACAACATTTATTCAACTTCCATCATTATACAACATATCTGTCAGTTAACTAACTAATACATTAAAGTTACACAACTGTATTAACAGTAATAAACTTGAATCGAACAGTTTAATCTGTTAAATGAACATTAAATATAATTTATAGATTTGCAAATGTATTTAAATCTTTTTATGTGGAAAAAAATCACAATTTCTTTAAATAAGCAGTAATTTTTTGATTATTTACAGTTACAGATTTTTCATGTTATTTTACATTAGACGTGTAAATTAATTAATTAACATTTCCATGTGTTTAAAAACAACAGATTTTATTTACATTTCTACTTTACTACATTTCAGAGGGAAATAGTTCTTTTTACTCATTTTACTTTCACTACATTTGTTTGATACTTTGCAGATTTAGATTTACTTTATAAATTATGACGTATTATTATAGATTACATTACACTCACATATATACAGTGTATTCTGCATAATGAGTACTTTTGGTGCTTTTAAGTATATTCTGATGCTAACACTTAAATTAAACTTTGAATGCAGGACTAGAGTATTTCTCCACTGTGGTTCTGGTTCTGGTTCTGAGTACTTGTTCTGTGGTTTCAGGGTAAGAACCTGATCCCTCCGGCTCCCGGGAACAACCGTCTGAACTACACGGTCCTGATCGGAGAGTCTCCCTGCCTGCTGACCGTGTCAGAGAACCAGCTGCTCTGTGATTCGCCAGATCTCACCGGAGAACAGCGAGTCCTGGTGAGTGCTGGGAATCTTAGCCCCGCCCTCAGCGCACCAACACTGATACGTGATTGGTTACACACTTTTATGGACTTTAATGGCTGCCGTTTGCAGTTTGGGGTTAATCAGTTAGTTGAAGATGTCACAGACAAAACATTACATTTTTATTTTAATCAGTAACAAATACGATCATTCACATCAATCAATAATATTTTGTCAACATATTTAAAGAGTGAAGGAAGAAGAGAAGAGAGAATGAAAGAGAGGAGGAGAGAATACTAGAGGAAGAAAGGGAAAGAGGAAGGTGGAAGGAAATGAATTAGAGAAGGAAAGAGAGGAGGGAGAGGAGGAGCAAGTGAGGAGGATGAGGAAGAGGGAGGAGGAAAGACGGGGAAGTGGAGTAGAAGAGGAGAGAAAAGGAGGAAGAGGAGGGGAGGAGGTCTTTATAAAGGTGAAAGTCATTAAGAAGAGCTGCAGGGAATCATGGGTAATTGGTCTGATGTCACAGATCAGAGAGTGACACACACACACACACACACACATATACTGTACAGACACACACACACAGATGTTCAAAGTGAACAGACAAACTATTGATACATTATTAAAACTATTGATTATTAATCAATACAAAATGTCCTGTCAGTGCTTTCTCTCTTTCATCAGCTCATCTTCATCATTTATTCATCAGTTTGTTCTTCATCTGTTTCATAATCGATATCAATAAAAAGGAAACGCTTTAATAAAACATTCATAGATAGATCATTAATAATCAGTCTGTACAGTGTGTGTGTGTGTGTGTGTGTGTGTCTGTCTGTCTGTACAGTGTGTGTGTGTGTGTGTGTGTGTGTGTGTGTCTGTACAGTGTGTGTGTGTGTGTGTGTGTGTGTGTGTGTCTGTCTGTACAGTGTGTGTGTGTGTGTGTGTGTTCTCTGTCTGTCTGTACAGTGTGTGTGTGTGTGTGTGTGTGTGTGTGTGTGTGTGTGTCTGTCTGTCTGTCTGTACAGTGTGTGTGTGTGTGTGTGTCTGTCTGTCTCTGAATCTAGAACCGGTTCCAGTGCAGCCCTGATGTTAACGGTCTCTGTCTCTCTGTAGATCCTCGTTGGTGGTCTGGAGTACTCCCCGGGTACGCTCCATATCTACTCCGACAGCGCCCTGACGCTGCCCGCCATCATCGGTATCGGAGCGGGTGGAGGCGTGCTACTCATAGCGATCATCGCCGTGCTCATCGCCTACAAGAGGAAGACTCGCGATGCCGACCGGACGCTGAAGCGCCTCCAGCTGCAGATGGACAACCTGGAGAGCCGGGTGGCGCTAGAGTGCAAGGAGGGTACGTTCTGTAGTGTGAGGATGTTGTGGTTCATTCTGACAAACAAACAAATGATTGTAAGAATGTAAACAAACAAACAAACCTACGTGCAGCCCGTAGAAGATCACTTCCTCCTTTCCTGTTCTTAGATATGCTATGCTAGGCTAATCTACTTGAAAAGACACCCACATTCTGAAGCTGGTTAAAAGATAAAAGAGACATACATATATATATGTATATAACATATATATATATATATATATATATATATATATATATATATATATATAACTACCTAACCTTTTAACCATACTTGCTATTTCATAATTAAATCACATTTGTGCTGCATCATGTTGAACTACAATCTCATAATTTTTACTTTAAAAAGACCAAATTCTTACTCAGAAGTCATAATTTAAATGAATTATTTCACAATTACAACATAAATAGTCAAACGTTTAGCTTAGAACATTACCTAACTTAAGATCTGACTATGTACTGTATCTGTTTCCATCTTCAAAATCGATCTTTTCAACATAGATTAGCCTAGCACATAAAAGGGGCGGGGCTTATGAAGGGTCAGTTAAGGTTGAAGGCCCTCAGTATGGAAATAAAAATCCAAATAACTGTCTGTCTTTCCTTTTCTTCCTGTCCAGCCTTTGCAGAGCTGCAGACGGACATCCAGGAGCTGACCAACGACATGGACGGAGTGAAGATTCCCTTCCTGGAGTATCGGACCTACACCATGAGAGTCATGTTCCCTGGAATAGAAGAGCACCCCGTCCTCAAAGAGCTGGACGTACGTACAAATGTCCGTCCATTACCCAGAGAACAAACACCGGGAACATTACAGAAACAGTCCGAGCTGCTCTTAAACTCTGTGTAGTGGAACAGAACAACCCTCTGCAGCGCCGGGGCCTCGGTGCAGCTTTAATTAAGCGAACCCAGCGGGAAGCTCTGAGCCGCTGAGCCTCCGTTCTCTGCATCCACAGACATGAATTAGATTTTCTCAGTTCCTAATAACTAGGTGTGGAAGTATATCAGTCTCTGGGTGGGAGGATTTCCATGAATTGGATGAGAAATGGCAGAAAAGTTTCTTTTCCTGACGCCCTGAGGTTTTCTGTCTGAGTCTGTTTAATCCTTTATTGAGCTTTCTATGGAAATTAGCTTTATACTACAGTGTATACAGTGAGATAGTATGAATTTTGCTTCCCACCATAAATGTCGATTTGAGCTTCAAAAAAGTCGGCCATTTTGAATTGAATGTGACATTTTGGCGCCATTTCCAAACCTTTAACAAACTCCTAGGGACAAAAACCACACTTGGCCATGAAACAGGCCTAACGTATATCTGCAAGCAGCCCTGCTGTAACCCTTAACCTAACTTCAGCACACCTTCTCCCTGCGCCATCTACTGACTACAGGAAGTAAGCCTTGTATGTATGTAACATGAACACAGTTCACATTTTGGCAAATTGGCACCATTAATATTATTGCTGAATTAGCTATTAGCAGCTCATGTTAGCAGTGTCCCCATGGATGTATAGACAACTATAACTGGATTACTGACACTGAAGAAAACGTAATAACATGATGATTCACAGGTAATGATATCATCAGGAAGAAGTACAGTACAGAGATAGATTCCACACAATAAAATCTCAATAACTTTTACTGCAACAGGAAATGTTTCATGAGAGAATTTGTAGATACATTTGGACAGTAAATTTGAATAGAACTTTATTTATTTCGTGTACAGTGAGACCAGTGTTCCCAGTTATCAGACACTAACTGTAAGGTGTGTGTGTGTGTTTCAGTCTCCAGCCAACGTAGAGAAAGCTCTGCGTCTCTTCAGCCAGTTACTGAACAACAAGATGTTCCTGCTGACCTTCATCCACACGCTGGAGGCTCAGAGGTCGTTCTCCATGAGAGACCGGGGCAACGTCGCCTCGCTGCTCATGGCTGCTCTGCAGGTACCTCTTAACAATGGTTAACCAGCTGATTAATAATTATTAATACTTACTAATGGTTGTTAATCGATGGCCACTGGCTAACTGTTCATCTTTATTATTAGATATGTTTTTAGTGTTCATATCCATTAATAACTGCTTAATGGATATGTTTTGCTGTTAATATCAGTTAGTAGCTGGTTATCAGTAGATAAACTGTTATTAATTTAATATTTGTCTCTTCAGGGTCGTATGGAATATGCTACAGTGGTGTTAAAGCAGCTGCTGGCCGACCTGATCGAGAAGAACCTGGAGAACAGAAACCATCCCAAACTGCTGCTGAGGAGGTCAGAACACCTTTAAAAACAAACTGCAGACAAAAGAAAGAACAAGAAGTTATTCTGCTTTTTCTTTAGATTTTATTATAACAGACTCCATGTTACAGTAGAGACGGCTGTGTTGAGTAACCTTTGACCTCTGACCTGTGTTTTTAGGACGGAGTCTGTAGCTGAGAAGATGCTGACAAACTGGTTCACCTTCCTGCTGCATCGATTCCTCAAGGTAACCATCACCTCATCATTTGTCCACTCTTTCCTTGCTTCCTTCCTTCCTTCCTTCCTTCCTTCCTTCCTTCCTTCCTCTACCTCATTAAGCTCTTCCTCTTCAGTCTGTCACCAATCAGATCACGGCTGCAGTTGATTTATTCACAGGAGATTGGTTGAATCCTGCTGCTGATGAGTTTACAGGATTAACTCTGTCTGTCTGTCTGTCTGTCTGTCTGTCTGTCTGTCTGTCTGTCTGTCTGTCGTCTGTCAGGAGTGTGCAGGTGAGCCTCTCTTCATGCTGTACTGTGCCATAAAGCAGCAGATGGAGAAAGGGCCGATCGACGCCATCACCGGAGAGGCTCGCTACTCTCTGAGTGAAGACAAACTCATCAGACAGCAGATCGACTACAAACAGCTGGTAACACACACACACACAGACACACACAGACACACACACACACACACACGGTGACAGTGAGAGTGTAATAAAGTTCGGGCCAATGACTCCTGTCTGTCTCTCTGTCTGTCTCTTAGACTCTGATGTGTATCCCCCCGGAGGGCGAGGCGGGGACGGAGGTGCCGGTGAAGGTGCTGAACTGTGACACGGTGACTCAGGTCAAAGACAAACTGCTGGATGCCGTTTATAAAGGAATCCCGTTCTCTCAGAGACCTCAGGCCGACGACATGGACCTCGGTAACTATTTACTTCACAAACTTAATGTTAAAGGATCCATCAGCCTTCTTACTGTCAAACCAACTGTTCCTAATTTACATCAAAGATCCACTTAATGTTAATAAACTGACTGATCTGATATTTTATTTGCAGACGACTCTGTAGTCTTTTTCACAGAAATCTTAAAGTATACATCAGTCTGCTGATCTTCTATTTTATTACCCACAAACTTCATGTTTACACCATAGCATGCTAAAACAGCTAACGTAGCTTAGCTGCTCCTCAGCACAGAGTAACAGACTAACTTCATATTTATGTTTTCAGAGTGGCGTCAGGGTCGACTGACCAGGATCATCCTGCAGGATGAAGACGTGACCACCAAGATAGAGAGCGACTGGAAGAGACTGAACACACTGGCTCACTACCAGGTACGCACACATTTATTACCTTCGTAATAATATTATACCTTCTGTTTTCAGTCATGTTTGTTTGTCTTTCAGCAGACATCTGATAAAACCAGGTTACCTGTCTTTGTCTTTGCAGATATTCAGTTAATTCATTTTCTGCGTTGGGATGTCTGAAGGAGTTTTAAAGGGGTAGACAATTTGAAACAGGATGCATAATTTAATTTAAGTAATTTAAATAAAATATCTTGTTTCGTGCTCAATGGTTGAAAAAATAGAGGCCTTTTTTTTAAAATAAAACATATTGTTTTAGTAATTGTACATATTAAAGTCTTTATTTCCAAATGTTAAAATCCTGTTTCTCAGTGAGGCCATATTCACTTCATTAAAGAACAGATTATTTGACCTTTATTTTAGTAGGAATATTCCCATTGCAATTCAAAATCTCTTTAACAGGGAGTTGTGACCGAGCCAGCAACGTTTCACATTATGATGTGTGTTAGCAGTATTCAGTAAACTGTTCTGTTGTTCTGGATGAATCTGGACGTTTCTGAACTGCTGTTTCTCTCTCATTGTCTGCACATTTACAAGACAATCAAGGCCTTATTTTACCTATTTTGGTCATAAGCAAACCTCATAATCTAACCTGGAGAGCCATGTCACTGTCATGCTGTATTTTTATGCAGCTTCAGAAGCAGATTAAAAGCTTAAACTTTTAACATTTTCTCTCACTGAATGACGATAGTGGGAGTCTGAGTGAGTTCTGGTTCTTTATCAGCTCCTGCGGTGGCACATGTGGAGTCTATCCAGATTGTGGACGGGATAAGAATCGACTGAGTTAGCTGACTGAATGGATAATTAGTCAGCTGATTGATGGAGCGATTGGCTGATTGACTGATTTGTCGCTGTGTGTTGCTAGGTAACAGACGGCTCCCTGGTGGCGCTGGTCCAGAAGCAGGTTTCCGCCTACAACATTGCCAACTCCTTCACCTTCACCAGATCGCTGAGCAGATACGGTACAGACGCACACACACACACATTAGCTATTAGCTGATAATTAATCACAGAAAGTGATTAACTCTCTCTCTCTGCGTCCTCAGAGTCGTTACTTCGAACATCCAGCAGTCCTGACAGTCTGAGATCCAGAGCTCCGATGATCACCCCGGACCAGGAGACAGGTAGGCTACTGCAGAAGCAAGCAGTATTCGTAAGGAATCTCTCAGAACCTCATGACTCAATTCTGATTCAGAAGATTATAAAACTATTATCGATGCATCCAGACATATTTGTAATGATCCATAATTAAAATAAGCTGATGGATTAACTTCCATTATCTTTTATTTACGGACTATAAAATTTGCAATCGACTTTTACTGAACTTTGATACTTTAATGGCACTGACTGAACCGGCCGAGTATCAGAAAATGCCATCATTTGGTACCAAATTTCAAGACCAACAGAGTAAAACAGTGACGGGGAACTTTTTTATTCCACAAGTCAGCACAGACAGCTAAGTGAACTTTCAGATGACGTGGGGTTGTTTACAGACCAACAAGAGCACCACTACTGATCTCAGCCTTTTTAAATCGAAGCTTAAGACCCACTTTTTTAGATTAGACTAGGGCAGTACTGTCTCTTTGGTGTACTCTTTCTGTCTGCTCCTTTCTGTGCATTTCTGGAAGGCTTTTAATACCCTGCAGTGCTGCAGCACTACAGCACTTTTAATTGTATTTGTATGTTATGTATGTGTTATGCATTGTTTTATGGCTTTGTTGTAAAGCACTTTGGGTACCTTTCGGCTATTGTAAAGGGCTATACAAATAAACTTGATTTGATTTGATTTGAAGTAAAAGTTGATGGTGGATGCATCTAGTTTTCTCCCACCTCTAAGTATTAGTAGTAGTTGTGAGCAGTTACTGCAGGCTGTATACTGTGTGCACTCTTCTGTACAGTAAATATATTGTGTGTTTTCAGGGACTAAACTGTGGCACCTGGTGAAGAATCACGAGCACAGTGATCAGAGAGAAGGAGACCGAGGCAGCAAGATGGTTTCTGAGATCTACCTGACCAGACTGCTGGCAACCAAGGTAACAAAAAGTGGTGGACTGAGGGATGTTTCCATCCATAGACTCATTTCTGTTTAAGTGGGTTTTTGCATCTAAAGTGAGACATTAATGTGTAATTTAAATTATGGCTGTCCTCCCACCACTAGGGGACGCTGCAAAAGTTTGTGGACGACCTGTTTGAGACAGTGTTTAGCACCGCCCACCGAGGCTCTGCTCTCCCATTGGCTATCAAATACATGTTCGACTTCCTGGATGAGCAAGCCGACAAACGACAGATCAGCGACCCGGATGTCCGACACACCTGGAAGAGCAACTGGTGAGAAAATCCACTGATAGTAAAGACACAAGTTTAAAGACAGTTTAAAGAACTAACAGATCTTTCCTCTCTGTGTCTGCAGCCTTCCTCTCAGGTTCTGGGTGAACGTCATAAAGAATCCTCAGTTTGTGTTTGACATCCATAAGAGCAGCATCACCGACGCGTGTCTGTCGGTCGTCGCTCAGACCTTCATGGACTCTTGCTCGACGTCCGAACACCGGCTCGGCAAAGACTCTCCGTCCAACAAGCTGCTCTATGCTAAAGACATCCCCAACTACAAGAGCTGGGTGGAGAGGTAGCTACCATGCTAACCAGCTAATAAACTGTAATGCACAAAATTAGAACTGGGTGTAGATGTGGCTGGCATGCTGACTTATCATGGGTAAATTAACCCTAAAGCAGCACATTAGCTTGCTGATGCAGTTAGTTAAGTTACACTTCGACTGTGTGTGTGTCCTGTAGGTACTACAGGGATATTGCCAAGATGCCCAGCATCAGTGATCAGGACATGGACGCCTACCTGGTGGAACAGTCCCGTCTCCATGGCAACGAGTTTAACACACTGAGTGCGCTCAGTGAGCTCTACTTCTACATCAACAAGTACAAGGAAGAGGTGAGTGTGTTGGTTCGTGCAGTGGTCGTCAGTGTCAGGTTTGATATTATATTTTATTTTTTTTACACTGGAGACATGATTCAAACAAAGTTTTACCCTTGAAGGTACATGTAAGGGGTGTAAAGATTTACTGATACATCAGAAATTGGTTGTAATGTTAAAGGTGTGACTACATCAGTACTCAGACCCCTGGATTGATTCTAAATATACCATAAACTGATGGTCTGATTCTAAAGTTATGGATTAGTTCACTGAAGCTTTGCTGCAAACAGCCTCTCCGCTCTTGTGAAAGGTAAAAGGTCAATTGCCAGGGTCTCACCACAAGAGAGAGGAGAGTAACTTTAGTGCAGCGTGGCTCCCCAACAACGGCAATCGCAATTTACAGTGTACCATCAAATCTAAAATGTAATGCTTCGAAGACACTTGGATTATGTAAGAAGAAAGGAAAGTTGGACAAAAGTCTTTCCATTTGTAAGATCTGCAGGTCAGCAGTTACTATAAGTCCAGTGGTAACATGACAAATCCTAACACGGCATGGTGACACCACGCAATGTCTATATTCAGCTGTCACTATAATAAAGGCAATAAAAGCCCCAAAACATATACTTTAAAAAAAAAAAAAAACTTTCCAGCCACAACTGAGCTTAAACTGGGCGGGGTCTTAATGATGGCAGGAAGTCTTTATTCCAACTTTTGTAATTTTTTTCCCATAAAGAAGAAAATACTTGTTTTCTAAAATCTATGTATTTGAAGGTAAACAATGTCACCTTTAATAGAATTGGCTTATTTAAATGTAGAATGGAAAATGTCTACAATAAACAAATGTTAAATGGTACTGTATCAGATTGCATCATATCGAATTGTTCCAAATGAAAATGCATCGTTGCTGAATCATGTCATAGTCCATGTATCTGGATACCTATCGGATCATCTTAGAAGGGACAGGAGCACACTGCTATAAATTCTTTCCTCTGTCTCTGCAGATCCTGACGGCATTGGACCGGGATGGGTACTGTCGCAAACACAAACTGAGGCACAAACTGGAGCAAGCCATCAACCTGATGTCTGGGAGCAGCTGAGAGGAGGCGAAGGACGAATGGACTGATGGACCGATGGATGGATGGGGGGATGGGAAAGAAGAATGGGGGATGGGGAATTGAGGGCATTTTGTTTTTCTGAACTGTTTTAACAGTCAGCTGAACTGCTCAGTGTTGGACCGAACTGACAGCCACAGCTCCGGCCCTTTAGGAATCAATCTATCAGCAATTTATTTGTCGATTGATCGATTGATTTGAAGACTGATTAACTGGCTGGCTGAGGCCCCAACTACCTCCGTTCGGTTGGTTTTTTGGGGTGGAAAATCAGTTTCCAAACCGATTTGGATACATTTACGACATGAATTCAACATGTTATTGCAAATAAACTAACCTTCTAGATGCATCTGTCGGTTTGGATTTGGATTTAAATTCACTGCAGGTGTAAGCAGGGATCCAAGTAAAGGGGGCGTGGCTGTGGAAAGACCTGAAAACTAGGCTAAAGACTGCGTCAGGTTTCACCAAACAATGGATATGGCGTGAGGACTGATCGACCTGACTTCAGGATTTGCAGCCTGGTACAGATGCTGGGTTGAAGAGCAAAAGGTCAAGTCAAGTTTCCGTCAAAGCTATGGACTTCACCGTGAAAGGCTTGTTCTGGTCTGAAGGATCAAGAAACTAAGCTGTGTGTCCGAAAGTCACAGTGAAATTGCAGCAGACTTGACCTTACCTAAAGAGCCTCATTGTAGTCTGGACAAATCCTGGCTGAAAATCAAAAGGTCAAGTAGAGGCTCAATGCAGAAATTTGAAGCCTCTTTACTGATGTCTTTATTTTGGCCCCGTTTATCCTCACCCTGAGTCCTTCGCCTTGTTTGGAAGGATCCTGATTAAGACGTTCAGGTCAAGCTTTAAGGAAGGAAGTGTCACAGTCCATCTTGAACTCGTTTGCGAAGGATTCAGGAGGTTGTTTCAAGCTTTAATGAAGGAGAAGGAAGCAAATAAATTGATGTCCCAAAAACTGATGGCTTGGCCTGACCATGAAATCACTGCTTTGTCTCGAAAGGAATCCAGGTGGAAAATACGGGCACTGAATGAGCTGAGACAATTTGACTTGACCTTGGACTGTTCAGCTTCAGCCTCGTCAGGATCTAGAAGTTTCTAAGTTGCTGTTTTAAATAACCACTCAATGTTTTTTCTCTGGACAATCACTCTGTACCACAGCACACTGAGCCCGATGCCTACTGACCGACCAGTACCTGTGTCCATAAACCCGTCCTCTCCTCCCGCCATCTTCTTTTCCTTTCCTTCCCTCCTCAACTTCTCCAACTTTGCTTAACCCATTTCCTAATTTTGTCTATCTTCCCCTCTTTCCATCCATTTCCTCTTTCACCCCACTTTTATTCTTCCCTCCCCCCCGACCCTGCTCCGTCATTGGTCAGTCATGCTGGCCTCTGGTCACCCTACTGGCCAGGAAGACTCTTTAGTAATTTACTGCCCGACCAATCAAGACTGTGGAATTCACCGGAATCGTGAATAATTAAACAGAAATGAATCCAGAATTACATTTTGAATACATTCCAGCACAGGCACACCGGCAAGGTCTGTAAATAAGCAGGTTGACTTGCTATATTTTCAGAAGCGACGAACTTCTGAAAGTGGACTGACTGGCAATTTCAGGACCAGAACAACCTGGAAAATGGGGTTCTGGATTCAGCACCAGTCGGTAAACTTTGATGCTGGTTGGTGCAGATCACTTTATCGTCAGACCTTGCACATACGCCCACATACAGCCATGCTTTACAGCGCCATGCTAACCGTGCCCAGGGGGAAATACTGTGCAGAGCTACAAGCCCAGTGCCATGTAAAGACCGGACCGGATCACGTCAGAACTGGACCGGACTTGGACCAAACCCGGATAAAAAACAACCTGGAATGGGGTTTTAACCGGACTGTACTCAAGAACTTTTAAGACTTGTGGCCATAATTGTAAACAACAAAAAAAGAAAGATGATAATAATAATAATGATAAAGTATAAAAAAGAATACAAAAAGAAAGGAAAAAAAAGAAATATTGAAATGTTAACATGTAATAAGAACTTTGTGGATTTGACAGTATGGATTTTAAGGAGCTGAACTTGTATAAAGCTGAACATTATGCTACATCAGAGTCTGGAGGAAGAGAGAGAGAGCCAGGAGACTGAGACCGAAACAACCCCATCCTCACACCACCGGACTAAACCGGATCGAACTGGAGTTAACCGGACTGTTTGGAACCTGAACTGAATCTCAGCTCTGTGTGTCGAAGATGGAATACAAACATTTTTTGGTACTTTTTTTTGCCAAACTGGATGTTTGTTTGAAGTGAACAGGAGGGTATCAGACGGAGGGGTGGACTGGAGGTTTGGGTGGTGTTTGGAGGGGTTAAATTGTTGCATGTGTAGCTTCTGGTGGAGTCTTTGTTTTGATGAGCTCTTGTTGCGCTCTTGTACATCCTAAAGAAGAATGAGGGTGCTTTCACACTGCCAGCTCAGTCTACAACCTTCAAATTATACTTCAGTCCACCTGGATGGTCCAAGACAAGCAGCAACCCTCTTGACGCTGGTAAACAGAACAGACAGAGTTCGAACCAAAACTGAACGCAGTGTGAAACGCTCTCATTCTCTGTATGAAATGTAGGATGAAGGACTTTCTAACAAGGCAACGCTGCACCCCCTCATCCCCTCATACACCTCTTTCTTTCTGTGGTTGAACATTTTCACTTTGCACAGCTGGATTGTTCAAAAAGTCCATTTTAGGTCCAACGTTTGTCAAAATTATAGTTCACTGATGATACTTGACCTTTTGAATCCACACTGCCGGCACCAGTGACTTAAATCAGATTTTTTTTTGCTCATATGTGACTCAGATCTGACAGCGTGATCAACACAGACCACATGATCTGATCTTTTCAGATTTCAGATGATGAATGGGGCCACTTTCATATGTTGTCCAAATCATATAAAGGTCTGAATTTTTGTAGTGTGACCAGTGCCTGAATTGGGCCGGTACTTACCAGTACTGAGCACTTCTTATTGGGTAATGCCAACTGTGGTGAGCATGGCCGTACCCACTACTGAGGTTTCCATAAGGTATAAAATAAAATAAAAGTCATGAAATATTTGCCTAAATTACCTTGATGCCTCCAATCCAGCTCTAGCAAGTTCAGTGTTTGAATCTCAGTATTTCTAAAATACTGCGTACAGCAGTGCTGGTGAGGTAATCCTAAACATCCACCTAACTGCATCTCTGTGTAAACACACAGCGTAACGCTTAGAAAACACTGAAAATGTCCTGTAATTGTATTGGTACCTTTTTTGGTCCAATCCAGGCACCGCATGCAACCTCAGTGTGACTTTTACGTCACTTTTGATCTACATTCGTCATGCATGTAACCTGTTCATTATGAAATAATCAGATCTGAGCAATAAATCAGAATTGAGTGCTAATGCTTGCAATGTGAACGAAGCCAAAAACCTTCTGCAAGCAAAATTCTTCTTGCAAATTACTTAATTTCAACGTCCACAATCAGCATCAGTTTACCCATCTGTACGTATTTCCACTTCTGTTTGTAGTTTTTTGACATATGACCGCTGCAGAAAATGGAAACCATGTCGCGTTGATGTGTTTAAAAGCACCATCAGGTCTTTGAGACTGTGCATGCAGGCAGGTGTGTTGAGTGAAAACGTTCCACCACAGCTGAAGCGTGTCTCTTTTGGCTCTCTGCGATGCCATAAAGCTACAAAGCACCTTTTTTTTATTGCTGTTGTTTCACTGTCGTTTGAATCTTTGGGGCCAAAAGGACTCGAGTGAGGAGGAAGAGTAGGAGGAGGAGGAAGGGTCCTGATAAAAGACTGCCTTTTAGATGATTAATTATAGAACAGGGAGGGAAGCCACTACCATACCAATACCACTGTTCATCCAACCTGTGTGTGTGTGTGTGTGTGTGTGTGTGTGTGTGTGTGTGTGTGTGTGTGTGTGTGTGTTGTGTACTGCCGCAGTGGAAACTCAACCATTAAATCACTGATCGTATCTGCAGCTCAATTAAAAATCTTTCTCTTTACAGTCGCGCCATGTAAATCAGCAGATTGCTATCTTCAGTACTTTTGAAATCTCTGATCAGATGTTTTTTTTCTTTAGAGATAAAAATCTCAGATTGGCCTTTAAACTCAAAGTCATCGATAAGCCATAAATCGATGATAAAGTAAAACTGAGCGTCATTAGATGTGTCCTCGTCGCCATTTTGATCACAATTTACCTCGTTGTTGGCGAGATGGGAGTTAAGAGGAGGAGAGGAGTTTCTGTCAGCATGCTGAAGGGTGAGGAGGGGGAGGAGAATGTGAAGGAAGGGAAAGGGATGATGCATAGACAATGTAGAGGAGAAGGAAACGCCCGCTGCATGCTGAAAAGTGAGGAAGAGGAGAAATTACTATTCGATTGCAGAGGAGGAGGAGAGAGGAGGTTCTATCAGGCAAAAAGGTTAAGAGGAGGAGGAGAAACCCTCCTGATGTTCTGCCAACGCAGAGGAGAAATAAAGAGTAGAACACACGAGGATCAGGATGAAAGAGGAGGTCAGAGTCTCTTTTTGCATGCTAACGTGAGAGGGAGGAGGAGGAGGAGGAGGGATGGAAGGAGACGCTGCTGGAATACTGAGAGCAGGAGTGAGGGAGGAGAGAGAGAGAATACTGATCAGGGAGTAAAAGACGGAGGCAACGTCATCCATCAAACCAGCTGAGGAAGGAAAGGTCTGTGAGAGGAGGGAGAAGAAACACTCCCAGTGCAGAGAGCTGAGGAGAAAATGGCCAAATCCAAGATCCAGGACTGTTACTTGTCCCGGTCCTGGATGACCATCAGGTTCAGGCGTCTAACAACACGTTATGTAACAAACAGCATGAACACAATATGTAGTAAATTATTATAAAACGAATGTTACAGAATGCAGGAGTTGGACTTTTTATGATGAGAATGTAATAATATGCTTCATTATGTAATAACTAACTAAACATAATGTTGACAACTTAATTAAACTTCCCAAATGTTAAATTAGACTCCTATGATGGAGTTATAGTTTAAATATTAAATATTTCTAGCTGGTTCGACTGCAGCAGTGGTCTGTTGAGATGCTTCCCCTTAAAAACTGCATCAGAAAGTTCCACACATTGTCACAGCCGCCACAACCCGTAATCACTGATTACAGGATGAGGAGAATTTATTCCATATTCCAATAAACAGCCTGAACACAATATGAGGCAGATGTTTAGAGAAAGCGTTGTTGTTATATAATGAATCAGACTTTCACTCATTTTGGACCCTGTTTACACAACGGTTGTTGCGCTTTGGTTCACAAAATTCACAAATTTGCGTTAATTGTTACAATCGCAAAAATCGCAACTTCCTGCAGGGACGGCTTTATAGTAACACTCCCACTTTGCTGTCCGTCCAGACACAATGATCGGTTTTCAAGCATTCAGCTCTTCCTGTCTACACTCACCGCGCTGTAGAGCTGTAAAGTCACATCGCCACCTACTGGCCCGGCATGCATATGTTTTTACAACGTGTTCACATGAACGTGGAACTTTTTTAACATGCAATGGAAGCTATCATATCGGCACTAGTATCCACAAACAGCCCTGAGCTGTTTGTATCTCTGCAGTTTATCTTCAAGCCATCAGTGTTGCATATTTTAAACTTTCTTTGAAATGTTTTGGTTTCCTCTGACATCCAAACCCGGACCGTCCAGGACTAAACCTCTAATACAGTTTGAATTTGGCCGAAAGAAATCAATGTTTGGATGTTTTTCCACTGTGGTAGCAAACTGTGTGTGTGTGTGTGTGTGTGTGTGTGTGTGTGTGTGTGTGTGTGTGTGTGTGTTTTCAGTGTTGTTTCTCTACACACACATTTTAACATCGTATCCATCTGAACACACACACAGCTGGGAGGACGTAACAAAGACTGAAGAGGCCGGTGGGAGGACCGGTCTAATTCCTGAAACAGCAGATGAAAACAAACAGGGATTGGACTGATACCTCGTTTAACTGCTTACACACACACACACCTGCACACACACACACACACACACACACACACACACACACACACTACACACACACACACGGACGGCTCAGAGTTTTTAACGCTCTCCGGCGGTGAGATATTTATTGATTCTTTTCTTTTTTCTTTTAATTTATTTTTATGAGTTAATATTTATTGAGGGAGGATGTACACGATTTTATTAGTTTGTACAGCGTTAAAGAGAAAGAACGTCGTACTTTTACTCTAAAAACACATTTTAACACATAATAACACATCTGTGTGCAGGCTGGGAAACGACCGCCGTCATTTTAAATTAAAAAGGTTTTTTTATTCTGATCCCTTGGATGAGTGAAACCTTTCAACTGCAGCCACATTAAAGTCTGTAGTGAAGCTGTAATCTCAGAAAACTTATTATAAAAGGTGGAAGAGTGGAGTTGAGGTCATTTCCCATCCTGTCCATGTTCAAATCCATCGGCCTGTCCGATAACTGAGGCAGACGGATCGATCTATTTGATTAGAATCATCCATCACACCCACCTCACGCACACAGCGAACAGTCAGAGGAGTCAACTTCGACTCTTAATCCAGACGATGTTTCCAGGAGTTAATAAGCAGAGAGGGGAGCAGGGACAGAAAACAGCAGGCAAACAGGGTCTCCCATTGAAAATCAGTGGGGCAGGAACTAATCTCCTATTGGAATAAAACTGAACTCTTCTGATCCCTCAGTGGAAATACATGGAAGTTGATTTTATGTGAACCTAGCAACCAAACAAATGGGATCCATTGATTGGAGCTGATCTCCCACTGGTTTAAAACGCCATTTTTTTTGAGTCTCTGATATAAAACCAATGGTAACCAATGGTAACCGATCCATTTATAATCAATGGGAGTTTGAGAAGCAGGTCATAGTGCTCTCTGACTGGAAGTCAATCAACATCCCATTGATTTTAGAATCCATGTCCTACCAAAGGGAAACAGTCAAAATTTGATTTTCTTTTAAAATCTCCCATTGAAAATAAATGGAGGCTGATTTTATGTGATCCTGGCGATCAAAATACTAAATGATAAAAGATTTTTAGGAAACTCACATTTCAAGTCACCGGACCCATTTATTTCAGCCCCACTGATCTCCCATTTGAAACCATGGTAACCAATGATCAATACGACGAATAACACAAATAATAACTTAAAGTTTATACCGATGGGAGATTAAATCCAGTGGTAGTTCCATGACTGCCCCTTCAGTGGGAGCCTCAGTAATCAGAAGACTCTGCTCCTCCATTGATAATCAATCGATTAAGAACCCCCTCCCCCATTAAGCCCCTCCCACCCCTGCAGACTCCTGACGGTTGATTGAGTCGAGCCGACAGCCAATCCCAGCGGGCTTCATTGTACCATAGCAACAGCAAATCACTGGACTCCCCACTGAGCTTGAACAGGGAGTCAGATGTCTTTATTGTACCATAATATGATTATTAGTACTATGATTATAATTATTATAATTCTGAGTCGGTGCTTCTCGGCTGCTGCGGGATCAGAAACCACCAAATAACTTCTTTATCTGTAAGCACTTTTCTGAACAAAGTCTTGGATTTAAAACACCAACAAACAAAAAGATCTCGGCAAGTCGTTTCCCGTTTGGTCCCCGTTCGGGTCTCCGAGCCGCCGGTCGAGAAGCGCCGCTCACACTGGATCTTGTGTCTTAGTTCAGGATGGGATTGTTCATTCAGGCGGCGCTCCAGGTGTCGGATCACGAGGCTTCATTGTCGCTTTTGACGGGTCCGCTGTGATGTCATGTAGCCTGGTCGTCGCCCACAAACAAAAAGGTTAAACGACATCATTCAGGTTCCTCAAACCTCCAGCTTCCCTTATAGTTTCAGCTGTTTGCATCCAGTCCGACACGAACCCGAGAAACCGTCCTGAACCTGTTCAAACCACCAAGATCTAAACAGTGGATGGTAAACAGTCAATGTATGACAACCACAACGCTGATGCAGGCCCAAAGGGGAAATTACGCTATTGATTATAGATTACTGATTGAATCAACTAGATATAGAACATAGAGTTTATACACTGTTTAATAAGGAAATGTTACAGTTTATAGATTGAACACATCATTCACATGTAAACACATGTTCTGATGCAACCGTTAATTATTGAAGTCTCGAACTTTGTCAACTACTGTCGAGCAAACGATGACATCACAGCGCTCCGATCCTCCCAATCCCGAACGACGCCTCGTGATCCGCCTCCCGCTGCACCACAGCGCCGCTGTTCATTCACGCTGCCTGGAATAACTGTTGTTTTCACTGCAGACGCAGACACACACATCGCCTTGATGCAGTGCTTTCCAGGATGTAGTCAGGGCCCATTTTTTGATACCATTTGCCATTGCCTTGTTTTTATTTTTTTATTTTCGCTGAGTTAAAATGTAATGATGACGATGATGATGATGATGAATCTTCTTCATGTAATAGCCTGTGTCAGTTTTTATACCATTGCCATTGCCTTCTGCTGAGTTTGTATATTTGTGTGATTTCACTAAAGTGTAATGGAAAAGTT